AATGGTCTAGCTGTTCTAGTTTGTTTGGGTGGGGTTAACAAGAAGCGGTGAAATGTTTTTATTTAAATTTTCTAAAGGCAGTAAAATGTTCTGTATTTTGCTTTTCTATTCCCTTATGGCTTAATGTTTTGTTTTTCATTACATGTACTGATGATGAAAAAAAAAATGTGTGTACATAATACTGTATAGAGAGTGAGCGAGAGAATGCTACTTAAAGATTGTCACCATAATGAATCCTTCTGTAGTTTTCTTTCTTTTTTTTTAAGGCAAACATGAGGCAATGAGTCCTTCATTAACAGCCTGTTTGTAGGTCAGACATTCTATAAAACACTGACTTTGCTATGATAACATGTCCATCGTTTTGTATTTGACGGCTCGCTACATTTAAGCTTGTATAGAAATAAGCACTACTGTATCATACAAGATTATGTTACAGTGTGTTGTATATGAAGGATCATTTTTCAGTGACTTGCTTGATTTTGTTTTTACAACAGTAGGGATCATAGTAAGCTTCTTTCATGAATAAACTGGTCAGGTACATGTGCACTGTTGAGATTCGCTGATTGAGACATCAGCCCTGTCACTGTTCTGATTGGTTGCTCTTTCCCTCAATTAATATGATGCAAGTCAACCTGCTCATCAGGTCTTTGTCCCAACTGCCAATAAAAAAAAGTTAAACTTTATTCAAACTTGATGTGACATTACAACATAAATAGACATTACACTGGAAAAAAATGAAAGTAAGACTGGTAACATTTACAAAGCAACATTTTTTTTATTTGCAAATTTGTGCACACTATCTTTCATAAACACTCCGATTTTCCTTTGAGAATTTGGTCAACTCAGACAATGATCAGAGCAGAAGATGATCAGAAGTGAAAGTCCAAAAACACAATCAACAATAAACATGCTCTAATTTCATCGTTTAATCTGATGATGGTGATACTGGATCGTTTCAGATAATTATCAACATGTCCGTTAATCAAAGTAAAGGAAGATCTGAAATAACATTGACTTGATTGTGACAGATGATTTTAAGTCCGTCTCATGAAATGCAGAGCAATTTAACATTTAAAATAAAAGGATTCAACATAGTGTAGATGAAGTGTCAATGAAATAAGGCATATACAAAATGAGCCTTAAAAAAACACTGGAACTTAGGAGGAATATTTTTACATGTTAATGTGTTTAATATGCTGAAACTTAGTCTTCGTTTGGTTTATTTAGAATGTTAAATGTAATCAATAAGATGAACGTAGTCCTACACATATCATTATGTTTAGTATAGTTCAGACTAATATTTGTTGTTCTCGCATTTGCCCAGCAGATGGTGCTGTCTGTTTCATGATATTTACACTTCCTATGATTGTGCCAGGGTTTTTTTGAAGCAGAGAACAGAGAAGGTACTGCAAAAAAAAAAAACACGTTTATTGTTGTGTGAAAGACCATTGCTACTGGACGACTACTTTGAAGGTTGCATATTATACCTTTCAACAGGAACTGTCAATTACAGAGTACAGAGCGGCAATAATAACCAATGCAAAGTCATTTGCAATTAATATGTGAAAGATCACTTTATCAAAGGAGAAAAAAATAACGTCTTAAAATGATATTATTTACTGTTATTTCCTTATATTATTTTAAAACAAACCAAGCTCATTCCTCTCCTTTTGAAGTTAAATTTGCTTTTATTTGTGCCCCTTTGGTTGTTTGATATACTTCTGTTAATTGACATAATGTCAGAATACTTGTTTGTACATTAGGCCTATAAGTGTCTTGAAAAAATAATTATAACCAACAATTTATTTTTGAAATTTCACGTCATGTAAAACAATTTTTTAATGGTTCTAATGAATTGTCCCTGACTTGCGTAGCCTATGAACTAAAATTCAACAAATCAATATCACAAGAGAAAGATATAGTTTTTAAAAATACATTTCAAACTTTCCCTTTTACTTTTTTAGTGTGTCAGTGTTTAAAATATAATAAATAAGACATATATACTTATACATTAGCCCGTTCTGTTAAGCCTGCTCCAGGATGTAAGCCTATGTTTGCAAATTTTATCACAGTAAGTAAAAAAAAAAACACAAAGAGAAGGACCCAAGTGCAGCAAAGAAAAATATTTAAATAAACAACAAGGGAGAAAAATAGAAAGCTTACTCTTACAGTATGACCAAAAATCCAACTCACAAAACAATGTCCAACAAAAAATCCGAACACAATTGAAAAAGCCCAAAAGAGCAGGAGCTCGGCCCCAGTACAGAAACAATGGAAGGGCTGTAAGCTATTCTCATCCAGCTACTAAACATATCTCTTCAGGTGTCTGGCCCCACATGTCTAAGCTGCATTAACAGAGATTTGAAACTTCAGGATGTCTTTCACACACTATAATGTATATATTTGTTTGATGGCTTTGTGACGTATCTGTGTCAAAAATGTTGAGATATTTTCTTAAGTTCGCAACTGATGGCATTCATGTGAAGAACATCAATGAGTGTGTCCTGATCAACAGATCCAATGTTTTGTAGATCCCTGCTCAAGGATTTGTCTGCTTTTACACCGCAGGTCACACCGACTCATTCACATCCATTCACACACAGATGGCAGAGGATCCTATTTATCATCAGTGTTAACTAATCCATTCATACACATTTACACGCTGCTATTCTATTTAATGTCACCCTGATGGAGGTTTTTCTTTTTTTCTTAATTTGTTCAGGTGAAAAAGTTACTTTTAATAATTACTATTATTCATGCCAACTTCTTTTGACAGTTCATGTTAGTTTTAAAGGAACCAAAATGCTAGCACCTATAGATCATTTAGCATGAAATAAATTTCAGATTCAGATTCACTTACATTATCCTCAATTATTTCCACAATGATGGACTCCTCAATCTTCCTGTTATGAAGAAAAATCCAAAAGAGTAGGAGACTCCAACAGTGACAGGTCAACAGATCGATTAGGTTGAACCAATTCCGATCACTTACTGGTGCTACCCTGGCAGGCCACATGACCAACACATGTCACATAACATTCACATAAATACTTCACGGCTATATTAACCCAACACACACATATGACATCACACCATGATTCAGTACTACAGTGGACAGTAACACTGCAACACTGGTGACAAAAGTCACACTACTAATACACTATCTTCAAGAATAAAAAGCTTCCACTGTTTGCACCCAATATATCAAAAATCATTGAACACAACTATTCCATATTTGTTACTCGTAAATTAAGTCAAACTTAAGATGAAGTAAATCCCTTCTGACAGAGACAATCTTTCAGCACCAAGTACAACGCATATTTACCTTCTCTGTTTAATGGTTCAGGGCTGAATTTCTCTATTATGACAGAGCAGACAAGAACCTCCTGCCACACAGACTCTAACTACAGTACATTCATCAACAGAATTTGAAATTCCTGGAAATGGGTGCAACAGAGAGATGTGCCCGCAGGACTGTCCCTTTCTGGTGCCGGTAGCCTAGTGGTAATATCCCGTACCCGACGTACAGAGGCTAAAGTCTCCAAGCGGGTGGCCCGGGTTTGAATCCGACCTGTGGCTCCTTTCCTGTATGTCATCCTCTTTCTCCTCAATTACGGACTATATCCTCTGTCCTATCTCTAAATAAAGGCAAAAACGCCCAAAAATGAACCTTTGAAAAAGGAATGTCCCTTTCAAGTCTGGCTCTCATCTCACCAGCAAACCAGGATGAATGACTAAAGCAAATAAAGTCAAGAAGCCAAAATACTATATCCCCAGCTGGTGTTTTTTTTTCCAATACAAGATATTTCAGATTTCAAAAATGCATTATAACAGATATAATTAACTGAGTATACTCTATGACTATGTCAAAAACTGCATGTCACATTTTTTTCTGTGTGGTGGTCTCTGCCTTTTCCCCTTTGCAGGCTTAGTTAACCTGTCTGTGTTTCTCCTCTTGAACATGATTTCTGCTGCCAGTTGCTGAGCATCTGGTGCCTTGAGCTCTTAGGACATGAGCTCAACCCCATTTATATTAACCTGAGGGTTGCTCTCTTTTATTCCTCTTGGACTCATCCCAGCCATCACTTATTTGTCTTTGTTCTGATTTTCTTCACAACACCCCAAACCTCATTACATCAATATTCCATATGTACATCATTGACTTGACTGACACCATATTTGCATTTAAATCTTCAGTTGTTCACTCTTTAGCATATACGTACATGCCCTTCAGCCAGGTCATGATTACTGCTGCTTATCTAAAAAAAAACAATTGTCATGACCCTTTACATAGGAAAACAAATCCTGCCACCTGCTGGCCACTGTTGAAACACCATAAACAAGTTGGCAAATGCAGAGTAAGAGGATATAACAACATACATCTGAAAGTCAATTGCAATTAATATGACATTCACAGAGTGATTATGAAAGGAGAAAAAATATGATTCAGTTTCACTGTTGTTTTCATTACTACTATCAACACAATGGCATGCTCATTATTCTCCTATAAGAGCAGTTACATTCAAATCCTGACCTGAATTTTGACTTGCCATAAACCAGACCACAAAGCAAAAAGAGCATACTAAGAGGAGACAGTAATTGTAAGAATGAAACAGTCCTTCCTTCCTGTTTTTCATTCTTTTCTTCCTCTTGCAACCACTCTCATTGTTTTAAATACTTTTTACATAAGCAATTTTTCATTATATCAGCTGATTACTCAAATACTTTATACTTGACTTGAATGAAAATCTCTTTGGCTCAACATCATCAAAGTTAGTTCTCATTCAATTAATTAATTAAATATTGTTTTGATTTCTGGAATTTCCTTCTCTCATTTCTTACTAGTCTCCCCTGCATGCTTACACAGAGTGTCGCTCTGCTTGGTGTAAAATGCAAAAAACTGAATACTTGCTGCAAGTTAATTTGATTATCGATCCTGCTTGTTATTTTTAAAGACACTGATTTGTAGACAAGGGCAAGCAAAAACACACATATTGCAATTTATTCACTTTTATTAAACAACAGACAACTTTAATTTAAGATAATGAAATCAGAAATAATACAAAATCACAATAGGAATGCCAAAAATATGTCATTTAAAAGCACTTTAAAACATTACTTTCTCTTCTAACATGATACACTTCTTTACAAACTGTACTTTGACCCTTTTCCCTTTACAGCGCAAAACTCATTGTTCAAGTTTGATTGTCATTGATGATACTGTAGCATCGTGGATATCTCTAGGGGGCTTTTTTAAATAAACCAAGGCTCAAAAAGAGTCTAGTCTGGCAGGTTTTGTTAAATGTTTCCCAGAAAAATATCACAGTCAGATAATTAAAAAAACAAAAACAGTTACACACTGGGAGCAACACATCTGCTGAATATTTTACTCTTCTTTTTCCTAAAACGCTACAAAAACATGACAAAAGGTGTAGAAACACTTCAGGGAATAATGCACATAATGTTGTGCTGCACTTGACATCTTTTTGCAACACATCTACCAAATAAACCTAATGCCTCTCTGTGAGATGAGTCACTGCAAGCATGAAAGAAATTACATAAGAACCCACTCTCGGTGTGGCTCTAAACAGACAGGTACTGTATTAGGAGGTATCTTTACAAATCTACATGTATTCAGATGTCTGTTACATAAGATTGTGTGGCATGCAGCCTACTATAAATAACATGACTCGCCACAGTTCAGTTGTTGTCATACCTTGCTCTCCATGTTCTGTATATTTTCAATAAAAACACTGTGATTGCTCCGTGATAGGCTGACATCACAAATGCAGTGAAAACTACGTCCAAATACAGAGTGGCACATTTTAAAATGCACCTTGTTTAAGAGTTGAAAGGAAACATAGAGGCTAGGGTATCCCGTCAGGAAGAGGGAGTCACCAACTAACGTGTGTGTGTTCTGTCACTTACAATCACAATATATCACTTGTCTAGTCATATACTCAAAAGGCGCTTTAAGACAGATACTTTGACAGGAACACAAAAATATACATGTCCACTCACTCAACAAGCTGAGCAATGATGGGCTCTACAAATGAAGCCAAAAGCATAACCTGAGTTCATTAGTTGCAGACAAACTAACTCAAGGACAGTCTATCCTGTGCCCCTCATGCAGGATCACAGATACAACACATTACAAAAAACTTTAAAGGATTAAGAGTAGTTGTGCAGATACTGCAATTAAGTGCTTCATCAGGACGCCTATGGCCTGTAATTAAAACAAAGTAATAAGAACACCAACCACTTTTTTAGACCAGATTGGTGTAAAGGTGCTTTCGGAATTTACTTTCTTAAGTATAGGTTGATTTAAATGCCCATTTTCTGTAATAACTATTAAAACAATACTGGCATCCATTTATGTGAGGAACCTTTGGTTTGTGTGGATTTTAAAGCGGTACATCTTTGTACATCTTTGTTGATGTTGTCCTCTACATGAGTAAGTTGTGTGTGTGTTTTTATCCTGCCCTCTTTTCACAGTAAAATGTATCACTCATTGTGAATATTTGCTGAAAAAAGACATCCCTCCTTCAACTTGCTCTCAATTGACTTGAGCGACCACTACCCCATGGCATTCGCTTTTTGGGCATTCAAAAAAAGAACATATCAATATTTAATCCTCATAGCTGATGGTCTTGTTTGCATTTGTAAATCATCAAGAGATATCAGTATTTATTCCCGCCTGTTTCATAATTAGTTTAAAACCCTTCACAGGAGCTTTAAAGCAGTAATGCTTGTTTGTAGAGGCAAGCAGCGTCACCCATTCTGCATTTATGACATGTGATAGTAACACGTGTATGTATGTATAACAGTATTTACAAGTCTCATGTTAAGTCTCACCAAGTAAAAATACTGCCAGTGAATTATACATTCAAAACTGATCAATTAATGGTCCATTTTTTTTAAAGAGCTCATAGGAGTTTATCTTTTTCATTCACTCAAATGTACTTTGAAATGTTAATAATACCACTGCTCCCAATGACAGGATCCTTTGAATGAAAAAACCCTGGCGTCAGGAAGGCTATTCGCTTATTTGTAACCACTGTATGAAAAGATCTTCAAGTAAGAGTGAATGAGAACTATCTGATGAATACTCAAGGCAGTCTAAGTGCTTTGTTTGCTGTGGACTGTGAGCTCCCTCTCAGAGCTGATGCTGGTAGAGATCGTCTCTTTACGGCTGTCCCTAGATTTCCTCTCGCAGGTTGGAGAGGACGACGTTGTGCACTCTTCCCAAGTCCGTAAAGGTAAGACTCGAGCGGTGAGGCTGGGCAGGTGAGAGTTGACCCGTAAGCGTCCCTCTGTCGTAGTGAAGCAGCTTTCCCCAGCAGAGCTCTGTCTGGGACGACCCTGTTTGCAGAACATCCCGCAGAGCAAAGCCAGGAATTCTTTCCTGACACTGCGGTGCATGTAACCGTAAATGTACGGGTGGAGGCAGCACTGCAAGAAGAAGAGAACAAGGGCAAGGGAGGAAAGCCAGGGGGGTACAGCTGCCCTGGCACTCATAGATATTGTATTCAGTATGCTGTAAGGCCCCATGCTGAGGATATATGATGCCATGATCACGAAAACCACCCGAGCTGCCTTGCAGTGGTAGTGGAAGCGTCTCTGTCTAACTCGAACAGGGTACCCCCTTGCTGAATAAGGGCCATCAGGTGAACTGGCCTGCTGTGGCTGGCGCTGTGCCTGTGGGCTGCTAGTTGCTTGGAAGTCCTGCGGGCAGGGCTGGGAGTAGGACTGCGTCTGTACGGGGTGCACAAGCGCGTTTTGCCTCCGAGCTGCCCTGAATACCATCCAGTAACATCCAAGCATGATGAACACAGGCAGCCAGAAGGAGAAGGTGGACACCACTGCAGAGTACGACAGACTGGAGGACCACACCACGGAGCACACGTTGTGGTGACGGTCAAAGTCGATGGCCCCCCAGCCGAAGAGGGGTGGTGTGCTTTGCAGGAAGCTAAGCACCCAGGTGCAGATGATCAGGTTGGTGCCCAGGTGAGGGGTCATTCGGGTGGGATAGGACAGAGGGTGGATGATGGCCAGGTAGCGATCCACAGAGACAACTATAATGGTGTTGACGCCAGCAAACGCGAAAAGGTGCATGAGCACCACGAGAGCTTGGCACAGTCTGGCATCCAGGGGCCACACGCCCGGCACAGTGGCTGCTATGGCAAAGGGCATGACTAACACTGTCTGGAGAAGGTCGGCCAGGAGAAGGTTGAGGACGAAGCGGTTGGCCACGTGAAGGAGCTGAGGCTTCCTCTGGAACACCAGCAAGACCACCACGTTGCCAAACAGGGACACACACACTATGAGTGATATGAGCAACATCTTGACCACACTGTTGGCAGTGGAGGACCAGACTGGGTCTTGACTGGAGCTGGTGAAGCCAGACTGCCAGTGTACATCAGTGATATTAGTGCCCACACCGAACACCTGAGAACCTGGCATTGTTTCTCCAGTAATTGTGCATGTGTGGTCTCAAATCAAGTGTTTACCATAAACCAGGTTGGTCCCATCTTCATAGTAAAGGAAGGCAAAAACAGCTCAGGTTTGTATTTGCTTGAGCTGATGTAAATTGTCTTTCAATGTATCTTAGGTGCAAATATGAGCATGATCTCAAATTGCTCACAATGCAGCCTCACCTAACACAGACCACCACCGGGAATACATTTCTGTGGATTCATCCATGGGTAACCTGTAAAACTGTTGGTGACCATGACGGATTTTCCATTCATCGATTTCAGTTATTACCCCACCGATCCAGGCCTTATTCTTCTCTCAGCCCACATCTGCAGAGTGAAAAAAAAAATGGAATTTGTCTGGCGACAACAAATGCCACCGTTCAAGCCTTCGTCATCATCGACTGACAATATCCAGACCGTGGCAAACACCGCGGTTTCCTAATCTGCAAATGATTTATAATACCTTGAAATGATCAGTGAAGCGATGTTTGATTCTCGGAGATGATGCTCATTCTGCTGCTGTGCTCGCTTCCCATCGTTTTCTCTCCCGTATCAGCCTCAGTCTCCATTCAATGGCAGCAGCGAGCTTTCACGGCTCAGCTAACATACGCTGCGTGTCTTCACCCAGCGGGGGTCTCTCATCCAGACGAGCATATCTCTCCCTCTCTGCTCTTTACGGATTTCATGGCATAGCCTACTAGACATTTATTAGCAGCCTCTTTTATCAGCTTTGGGTCCTCGTCAACAGTTTTAGGCTACTTACGGTCGGCTCTTGTCTCCCGAGGTGTCAGAAAAAATGAAAAACCAAGGACACCTGCACTGAGATCTCCCCCTCGCTGTAGCTTGTCATCGACCCCCTCCCATCCGTTTTTTTTTTTTTTTTTTTTTTTACCCTTTCTGTTATGAGTGCGCAAGTGCCCGACATGATTCTGTCTGACACGTTCAACAGCCTATATGGTATGGAAAGCTAGAACCAGTAATTTATTCCCCTACTCCCATAGGCTTTTCGAGGATATAGCCTAAGTAGAAAAAAAAACGCCACAGAACATCATGTTAAACACATTGGAACATAGGGTTTTAAATAGGCTATTTGTTAAAAGCAAAATGTAACAAGAGTCCAATTACCTATGTAGCCTATATCAACATTGAAACATTCTGCAATAAATGTCCTCCTTTTATTTCCTTCACACCTGATTGTCCATGTAACCATTACAACCCATAGCATCAGAGCCAGTCCCACACATCTCCTTAGTAACAACAAGTGATTTAATCAGATGCCTCTTTATGGGATCCTCACATAATGGGATGGCTCTTAGGGCAAAGAACAAAAAGGACTTATGTCAGTTTACAAGTGTTTTTGCAGAAGACCAAGCCCTGGGTTAGGAATTGTGGTGTTAAAAGTAGTCTATAGTGTGCCTACATCGCTAGAAAAAGGTCAAATAAAAGAACCTCATATCATTTTTCAGAATTATTTCTGAAGAGCCCTTCATTTTTCCTAGTTCTCAATGTTCTTTTGCTTTTTCACAACACTAAGATATATAGGTGGCAAAGCAATAACTCCCCAAGGTGCTACCTGTTTCACACTATAATCAGAAGTAGGAATTGGCCTACAGAGGTGGATAATTTCTGTCCCCCAAGGGACAATGAATACCCCCATAGAGTTTATTAATAAACCTCAAGGGAATTGAGACTGATTTAACTCTTAGATTTTACGGCTAATTTCCTTATCAATTGAAATCTTATTTTTGTAAGGCATGGTTTGTGTTTAAGTACACTTGAGAAAAATGTAAATACATCATCAAGTCAATATCAAGTTTTGAATGATTCCTACTCAAATCAATAAACTTGTGTTTATGAAAAGAATGTGAATGTCAACACCCTTTAGTGGATTTTGCATCATGCTCTCTGTCTTGCTTTAGAGGCTTACGTTTGAGTACTTTTAAAGCTTACTTTTGATTGATTTGATTTAAAGGTCCTTTGGCTCCTCCAATGTTTCCAGTGACATTGTTTTATCTTCATCAGTTGATACATTTCTTTCTTTCTTTCTTTCTCTTCTTTCTTTCTTTTTTTTTCTTTGCCCCATCAGCGGAGCTCCCTGAGCTATACTCTCCCAAGGATTTAGAAGTCAAATGTCAGAGTTTCAATCAGTTTTTTTCAGTTTTTTTCAGTCACAATCATAGTACTGCAGGCTAATTCAATATTTATTTTAAACTTAAAAGCTGCTGTTAGACTTGGTTGCAGTTATGCGTGATCTGTGCCAGACTTGCAATATCATTACACACCTTTTAAGAAGCACTGTGCATGAAACTTCTAATATATTTGTATAAAAAAAGGAATTTGTTCTTGCTTTACAGATACAAAATGTAAAGAAAATGCAGGTGTTATTATTGGTTACAGATCATCCTTCAACCCCTGATGGGGTGGAGATGAAAACTATGCAGAGACTGATTAGTTAAATAAACCCCTGTTGAACTGAGCTGTAATGTAAACCATTACTTAGAACTTTGGATGGTTCTATGAACACAGATATGCATTAACATGTAGTTTTTTTGTTAAATTTGTCTATTGACAAGTTTTCATCCAATGATCTCTTTATTTTCTGTGCTACACATAAGCAACCCTTTTAGGTTGGAAACAAAAAAACTTCAACATTTCAGCCTTTCTACAACAAAAAGCATTCATTAAGATACACAGAAAACAAAAGCAGTACTACATTGTTCAATCCAATTAGTCTGTAGCTTACATGGCCAACTAATCAACACTCATAATTAGTCGTTTTATTTCAAGTCTTTGCACTGTCTGTGCTTTCCAAAAGCCTTTTGATGTGACTCTCGAGCACCCTGTGCTTTAGATTTAGATTGCAAATGAAATGCTGGGGACTGCAAAGGGGTGGGAGATGTTTCCCTTTTCTCGTGTTGAATGGACTGTGGTTCAAAGGCAGACCCAGGCCTGCTGCCTCATGGGATTGTTAGACTGTTAATACAAGTTAGAACCTGTGCAGTGACTATAGGTACCCATCGCTCTGTCTGCAGCTGTGTCCTGCAGATTCTCTCTGATTCAGTGTCACTCACTGACACACTCGGGCCGACAAATCAAACACACTCTCACAGCTCTCCCAGCTCAGAAGAGCATAACCCGATCTCAGTTTCTCTCTCCAATGTCTATCCTTGTGTTCATTTTGTGAAAATATTGTATGTAGTTTAATATAGTTTTAAACATTTAAGACAAATATTACTGTTTTTAGATAAAATTACGACCATTATTTATCATCACCATTACCTAACAAAAACTTTCAGCAAATAAAACATACGTCAAACTTGTTTTTAACTTACTAAACTCCATAAACTCCATATTTGTTAAAGTCTACTTTAATTGCCTGGACATTTAAACTTATGATACCAGTGTTTCCTATATATGCATCTAGCACCGGAGGGGCACCGCTGCTTAAATATGTCCTCCGCTGCTGATTTTATTTTTTTTTGAGTGGGGAAAGGAAAGGAAAGTTAATAAAAGGAGAGGAGAGTGTTGAGGAAATTAGTAAGAACTTGACACTTGAGAAGTGAGCTAACAGAACATTCAATGGATGAGAAAAAACTCTTTCCTAACCACAGAGTCGCAAAAATCCAGTGCCAGAATACCAGCCATGCCATGGAACTGCTAACAGAAGACCACCAAGGATCCTCCGGGCCACATCATCATTCTCACTGGCACAAACGACCTGAGAACACAGAGAGAAGAGGTGGCCAAATCTATTAAGAAAGTAATAGATAAAGCCTCCGCAACATTTAATTCTGTGAGGGTCGTTATCTCGACTCTGCTACCCAGATGGGACTTCCACCCAGCCCTAATCCAAAGGGTAAATGCACACATCGCCAGAGAATGTATGTATGGAGTGTATGTATGTGGCACTCCACCCCACTCTGGACCTGAACAGCCTTTAAACCACCAGGTGCACATCCTCAAGGCAACAGTCCCAGTGTTTGCAAAGACCCTGAAGGACGTTGCACTCAACCGCAGACCCAGCAATCCCACAGAAGAAACAGAGAGATGAGCACCTCAGACAGACCAACATCCAGAAGACCTGCTACACCCAGAGGACCTGCTCCACTCTGAAGACCAGCTCTACCCAGGCGACACCCGACCCACTCAGAGGATACCCTTCTGCACCCAGAGTGCATCCTGCTACCCATTCTCCTGCACCCCAGGCTAGGCCCACTCCCCTCCTGCCAACCCCACACCACACATATGCACAAGCTCTGAGCAAAACAAATCCCATCCCCACAATGGACTGAGCTCAACCCTGTGACCTGAGCGTACACCAGATGCTCAGCGAGCTCTAGACAATCATGGTCCAGGCCTAAAACACTGGATTAACACCACCGTAAAATATGGAATACAAATCTTTCATAATTTCATCCTGGAATATACAAGGTCTGAGGTTGTCTGCCTTTGGTACTAAGAGCAGAAACCCTACAACTACAGAGAGCTGGTAGTACCATCCACTAAGCTAACAGGAATCAAACAACAAAGAGATTCAGGCAGCATGTTGATATTGTACAAAACAGAACTTTCCCTTTCCATGAAGATAATCAAAAAATGAGCTTTTTACATCTAGTTAGAAATAAATAAAACACTAACCTCAACAAAAAAAGCATCATCATGTGTGTTGCCTACATCCCTCCAGTCGAATCTCCATACCATAAAGAGGGCATGTTCTGCATCCTAGAAGAGGAGATTAACCTTTTTCCGGCTGGTGGCCACATTATAGTGTGTGGCGACTTTAATGCCAGGACAGGACGAGCAGCTGACACCCTCAGCACACAGGGAGACAAACATCTACCAGGAGGTGGAAACATAAATTCTCCAGTTATGCCCCCCCCAGACACAACTATGACAAAGCAACAAGCAAACATGGGTCACAACTCCTGCAGCTATGCCATTCACTGGGCCGGTACATACTAGGCAACGGTAGGCTCCGAGGGGACTCCTACAGTAGGTACACTTACAGCTCATCTATAGGCAACAGTACAGTAGAGTACTTCATCACTGACCTCAGCCTGGAGTCTTTCAGAACGTTCACAGTCAGCCCTCTAACTCCCCGGTCAGACCACAGCAAAACCACCATTTACCTTAACAGAGCAACAACCAATCAGGAAGCACAGACACCAATCAAACTACAAAAACCGCTACAAATGGTTTGACGGTGAATGTCAAAACATCTGGAATCAATTAAGGAACCTATCAAACCAAAAACATCAGACAATCAGAACATACGCCTTCACTACAGTGAAACATTAGAAACCAATTAAATTCTATTGCAGTGTTTCCCCTATATGCATCTAGCATCTAGGACAGTGGTACTCAGCCTTGTTAGAGCCACATTGACCAAAAAATATTTCTGCAAGAGCAGCAATAGAAAAAAAACTCTTTCTTTCTTAAAATATGTGTGGGAAACAAAGTGACAAGACTTGCAAATAATAATTTCTGCTGACAATACTTTTTT